GCTTTTCAAATTAAACTTCTGTCACAGAGGTATGTAAACCACAAGTGTTTTGAAGAACTGCTTCTTAAAATTCCTGTTAAACCTAAACCTAAAATTACGACTATTACACTCGCATCTTTCAAGACATCGAAATCAAAATTCAGACATAAATTGAATACATACACTTACTTAAGCCAACTTGGACCTATCCTTCACAGATATACGGGACAGTAAAAAAACCCACATACATAAAATACATACATTTCAATCAAACATTTTGGGGACTATCACAAAGGCTCCCTGGTATGTCAGTAACATTACTTAACATAAATACTTACAGATGCTATACTTATAGTTAACGACCACATACGAACATACTACAAAATATTTCACAATAACTTACCTGGACATGCCAACTCACTGATTCGAGACATGACCTCGGACTAACATGCTCGATAACACTCGTAGGAGGATCAAAAGAAGCTGGATGAGGGATCTCCTCCACTAACTACAAATATTAAATTCAAGACAGGATAAGCGCCGCTGGGCACTCCTCTCCCTCATGCCTATTCCAATCTTTTACATCTCAACACCACACTCGTTGGTTGTCGGAACTTCTGACAGGTGTGAGTGGAAAAATAAAGTTAAACAAAAATAACTGTTTTTTAGAATAATAAATCTACAGCTTTATTTACAATCCTTTAAGATGAGTGGGAAAATGGGAAATACAAAAATTTAAATGATTATTTCCCAATACTAGTGTTGTCTTTTTTAATGTTTTCATCTGGTGTCAGTAATAAGAAAAATAAAAAAATATATTAAAAAAGTTTGTTTTTCCAATAATCTATCTATAAGTCAAGTTTGATGATTGTGTTTGGCTTAGATTGTGAAATTTATAAGCGCATTTCTATACTACGACTTTAGAAAACATCGGGTTTTTGAGCACTTTATTTGTTTTCAGCTTTGTATTTGGTTTTAATGATAATAATTGAGCACATGCTCCACATTACTCTTAACTAATTAATAATTAATTGAAAACTAAACAACCTCTCGTTACATTTTCCCTCATATTAATCTTAAATCGATAAGTTCAAGGTTTCATAAATTAGATTGCATGAATAACTTCGAAATATGAAATGATTATGCATGAGGAAAAGTCTTTACAATGCAGCAATAAAACAAGATATTGAAATGGTATGAACACGAGTTGTAATGGAGAGACGGGAAAAGAGATGTTTCCAATATCCATCCTCAATGATATAAAAGAGATCAAAAGGGCAGTTGATAGAAGAAATCGAAGTATGAAAGAGGTCTATGAGTCCGGAATGAGAAGTATTGCAACGGTATTTGCTATGGAAAATAAATCACCTTGTTAAGTCGATTTTTTTTTCCTTTATGCAATAGTTTTCAATATTGGAGTTGGTTATCGGTGGTGAAATATGTCATATTTCCACTTTGTAACTGTGTTGGAATGATATTAGAAATATTGTTTTAAACAAGTAAAATATTTATTGCAATCATAAACAGATTAAGGATATCACAAGATAATAATGAATTGAAGTTGGACGGTGTGAGTGAATGTAAGAAGCATAGAACATTGAGATAAATTTTTACATTGAGATAATTCTTGGGTGTAATTCGAAAAGACTATAGTCTAAAATTTTATTTATTTGACAAATCCTTAAGGATCTATATTCATATTTTTTTTAATTCTTCGTCATCTCTATTTTTACAGGAATTATAATCAAATTTATGATTGTTAGATAATTTAATTACGTACATTATATCTATACCCAGGATCTAAACAACAACATGTCCATTTATTAATTTCTTTTGAGGAGCCCGTTTTCCATAACTTGGACCTATTAAAATTAGTAACTAAATTATTTAATAGACAAATGGAGATGGTTTCCTTTCCTTTTGGCACGCATATAAAATATGGTAGTATATTGATATATGAAACAAAAACACTTTTGATGAATGAAACAAAAACAAAAGGGATTTTCATTGAGAAGTGACGAATACTAGAATAAAAATGTTAAACCTTACTACAACCACAAGAAAAATCATTGTAAAAATTGAAAGATTTCCACACTCAGATGGTTTTAAAAATCTACGTATTGAAATGGTATAAATGGTGTTTCAATTATTTGTACACAGACATCAAGCCCAATGTATTTGAAAGCCCAAAAATGTTCCGTTTTCGAGAAAAATCACAATTCGTGCAGAAAGCCTCATGGGTGTTATGACTCCAGCATCTTTTAGTTTCCCCAAAATTATCGCTTAGACTTAAATCACTAATATATAAAAGCATTTTACGACCTCCCTTGATGTACGGCGCACCGCTCTTCACACATCTTACTGACGGCACACTAAAACACATCCAACGATACCAAAACAGTGTATTGAGAAAAATAACTCGGTCCACTTCATTAAAAAAATTAAAGGTAGATCAGCTACACGAAATCTCTGAACTTCCCACGATTGAAAAGTTCATTCTAAAACGACATGTAAAATTTATAGACTCTTTGAAAGCACTTACAAATCCTCTTTTCAATACGCTAACTCCAGCACCGGCTCCAGTTCGGTGGCAAAGCTCAATCTTAGATAGTAAGTTAGCTATTATGTTAGTTATTAAGTAGTATTAAGACACTTATAAGCACACAAATGGGTGACCCCCATCAGCTTTACTGATACATTTAATAATTATTGTTATAACAAAACATGAACCCAATTTCAATAAGTCTTAAAATGTAACACAGTTACAGTAAAACACAAAAATAAATTGTTCAAAGTATTAGTGTGGTTAAAAAAAAAAAAATCTATTCTCAGTTATAGAATGAATTAAACTTTTTTTTTATCCAATCAGATAGGTCTTGAGTGACTACAATAATCAATTAGTATAAATTTCTAGATGTATTATTGCCTAACTTAAAAATTGGAGGAATATTTTTTTGTAGGATAAGCTTGACAATATAAAGTGAATTGTTACTTTTAAAAGAATCTCTTGGATATTTAATTGATTGTTGACTGTATTAATTGATCAAAGAGAAGTTATTTAGTGTTTTCAATCAAAATACAAAGTAAAAAATAAAATATAGTAATTTTTGTTTCCTCTGTGCCGATTTTTGGCTCTAAGTTTCAGGCCTTCATCAGGGCGTTCGTACGAAAGAGTCCAGATGAATGCATTCGACTGCATCGAAACATTTCAGATCAACCCCTTAATAAGTGATCAGCTTATACTAGTGGAAAATTTCCGTTCAATATTATAGTTTGTGACAGATTGTAATATTTCCGAATAAATAAATTTAAAAAAAAAAATATAGTTAGGCAATAAAATACAGCCATATATAAATTTACACCATTCTATTACTGTATTATAATGAATAGATCGTTCACTAATTCTGTTTATCTAATGGACTATCTTGATAATATATATTTTTTTTTTTTTTTTTGTCTATTAAATATGTATTTGCGCCTGTCAACAATAAGTTAACAATCAGCAAATGTGATGGCGGTAATGATAAAATGACATGACAGGCATGGGGAAGGAAAGTACTCAGCAGTACCTCTTCCCTAACTTGTTCCAATTACTTAGGTTGTCTAAGGAAGGAGATCCCTCATCCAACGCCTTTTTAGTCTCCTGTTCATGTTCTGAGGTATGTCAGCTGTGGCCATGTCTCTTATAAGTCTGTTATTATGTCCGTTTAAATTTGTGTAAAATCGTTGATATAGGATCGTTATATGTTGGTCAACTGTTGGAAGGTGGAGGTCAGTATGTAGAGTTTTGTTAGTCACGTACCAAGGTGCTTTTGTTATGAGTCGCAATAATTTTGATTGGAATGTTTGAAGTTTTTGTAGGTGGGTCTTTTTAGCGATGCCGTATATTTGTGATGAGTATGTCCATATGGGCTTAAGTAAGTATGTATATGTATTCAGTTTCTGTTTTAGTTTTAGTTTCGAAGATTTGGCAAAAAGAGAGTAAAGTAGTTTGAGTCGTTTGTTAAGTGTCATGCGTTTCATTTTAACATGTGGGCCCCATGTCATCCTTCTGTCGAAGGTGAGTCCAAGGTAAAGTACAGTGTCCGTTTGAGGAATTTGATTGTTGTCAATATAAACTGGAGGACAGGTGTTTTTTCGAAGAGTAAATGTTATATGTTTGGATTTGTCATGATTAAGTCGAATTTTCCATAGTGTGAACCAATCTTGTAGTTTAAGCAAATGATGTTGTAGAGTTAGTGAGGCCTGTGTAGGGTCTTGATGTTTTGTGAGGATTGCTGTATCGTCTGCATATGTAGCTGTCAAGATCTCATCGTCAATAGGTATATCGTAAGTGTATATAACGTAAAGTAGAGGGGCTAGTATTGAACCTTGGGGAACTCCGGCCAAGATTGGATGGACTGAAGACACTTCCGAGCCCTGCCGAACTGAAAAAAATCTGTCGAAGAGGAAAGATTGAAGGATAAGATAGTAGGTGTATGGAAGTATAGTCTTAAGTTTAAAGAGAAGACCCTAGTGCCAGACTCTATCAAACGCCTGAGCAACATCCAAAAATACTCCAGTTGCATATAGTTTTTGTTCTAAAGCTCCAGCAATGTAGTCTGTAACTCTGTGCAATTGATGTGTCGTCGAATGGAATGTGCGAAAGCCGAATTGGTGGTCAAGTATTACCTGTTGGTCAGTCAATATGTCAACAAGTCTTTTGTATATTAATTTTTCAAAAACTTTAGAGCATATAGGAAGGAGGCTAATGGGTCTGTATGATGAAGGACTGTATATGTCTTTACCGGGTTTGTGAATCATCTTAATAAGTGAGTATTTCCATTGTAAAGGGAATATAATATTATATTGTATATGTGATGAGACATGTTTCGCTGAAATCGATTGTGCTATCTGATATTGGATTTCTCACTAAGACATAGCATTTAATTTAAATTTCATATTTTGGTTTCGATTATGACTCCATACTTCATTTCACAGGTAACTCTTGGCAAGCAGACTTCAAATTCTATCAGGACGCAATGTGTACATCCCCGACTCTGACTGCTTCGGCAGAGGGGACGCTCACCGAAGTGTCCCGCCGAAGGATACCCGGGGCCATTGACTTCGACTTCAGGGTACTCCGGGCCTTCCTCACGCTCCACGACGAAGGACTCGTTAAGAGCCTGTCACAGGACACCACCTGCGGCCCTCCAGGAATTTGGCAGGTAAGATCAAAATCACTTAAACCCTAAAATTAGTAACAAAAATACCATATTTGCATGCCATGCTGCACTGTAATCGGGGTTTGCTGCAGAGCCAAATAATGTTGTATGGACATAAACTTAATTAATAATAATAATTACTATTTTATTCAATTGTTTATTCAGTTTGATTATTAAATTAAAATGTTAATTTAAGATTATATAACTTCATTTAAAAACAAAATTAACATACAAATGATTAGTTTTGCTCATATTGTAAGTAACAATTTGTAAAACGGTTGAAAAACGTATGTATAGTTTTATTATTTACTGAGTCACATGTTTAGTTAATTAGTTTAAAAATTATGTTTTGATAGTTAAATGTAGATCTGCAAAATGTTTTTAATGAATATCAAATACATTTACTAATATATTAAGAACCAAAAATAATTGATAAACAAGGGATTACAGGATGCGATCCAAATGCGATTGATTATTTACACGTTTTTTGTACCTGATAAATAGACAAAGTTTGACGATCTCCAGATTGAAAACGTCCCAATTCCGATAATTTCCTTTAGAGAAAAATAGTTGTTGGTTACTATTAGATGAAGCTATTTACGAAGTTTCTGGCGGATGTTAATAATTTCATAAAAAAGGGTCTGTACCACGGACTATATGAATTCGTTCCTTAATTTCTCTTTTTTTTTTCTTTTTTATATACCTGCTTTCAATAAACTGTTAAAGGAGCAATAATGAACCAATCATACAAAATTATTATTTCAAGACCGACATTTTCACCATTTTGTTATAAATGTCAGCTAATAGACATATATATATTTGTTTATCATTCTATCATTTCTTTTAGTAGGATTCTTCTTGGTGATATACGAATTTATAACTTTTGAATTGTATATATTGTATTTAATTCCTTGTATTACGTGGATCCCTTGTATAGACTCCTTTTCATCAAATTAGTAACATTCGCCCAAATATTTGTGAATAGCTTCATCTCATCTTCTCAACTGACAAATTTCATATTTACGAAAATTCTCGAAAATGCGGCGTTTTCACCCTGAAGATTTTGTGTCAAACTTTGTCTATTTCACTAGGTACTAAACACGCATGAACATCTATTTGCTTTCCATTTGAATCGTAAGATAATTTGATCACAAAATCGAGAAAAAAAAGTGGTCTACTAAAATATTTAGCCATTTAACGTGACCTCCTCCCTATGTCATAATAACGATATTATATAGGTCCAATATATTTGTAAGCCAATCATTTTTTTTTTCATAGCTCCTTTTTAATTATTTTGTCTTGAATCCTTGGATTTTCATTGTCTTCATAATAGTCCTTTTACTGCTTAAAAGCATTCTAAGGTGTATTTTTTGTCGTTTCTGAATATTTTCTTAGATCTGTAATATAAAAGGTGATGGGGCTCGCATCAGGCTTGAGTTGACCTTATCCTCTAGAGCTTACAACTAAATTAATAAAACATCTATCTCATGTGAGTTGTTGCCAACGTTTTGGAATTTTTGCTGGTGATAAATTGTTGAAAAGAGGGTTTACCAATTGCTGAGTCTTATCCAAAAAAATGTTTTTTTTTCGTTTTGTGAGAAATTCTATTATTTTTGATACATTAAGTATTACTTGTATATACAATCTCTTCATTCTCTGAATCGTGGTTCCTCTTGCTATTTTTTGGATTATTCCATTTTGGAAATATTGTAATCTTTTCCCAGTTGTTTTGCTGACATATTTTGTAATCTTTTTTTTTTCAATTTTGAGATAAAATAATCTTACGAATCGAGTGGGAAATAAACAGGTATTTAGTTTTTAATACCTCATTAAATTAATTAATTTAATGATAAAATGCTTCATTTCTGAGAATTTTCGTTTAAATAAATTTTGTAGGTTACGATAAGAAAAAGCTATTCACGAAGTTTTAGACGGATGTTAATAATTTGATAAAAAAAAAAGGGTCTGCACCACGGACTGTCACTATTAGTAATTATATCCGCTAGGATTCATAGTAGATTTCTATTTTAATGCATTAATTATCTTCTAGTAAAAAATTGTCCTAGGACACATTTCTTCATCCTTAAATTCCGAGATGTATTCCTGCTGATAGGTTGAGCAGAACTAAGCCAGTTATCAGTACCCTGGAAAATTCATATTCTACCATGATTTAATTTAGATAATTTGTAATAACATGGATTAATCTCTGAAGACTTTTCTTATTTTCATTGTCTTGTCCTCCGGACCTATGTAAATATCTCTTAAGAATAAAAAAAAAAAATCGTATTTTGTTTGCTTTCTTTTTCTTCTATTTCCAATTTCCTGGACGGCAGTTTTTATTGCTTATTTCTCTGCATAAAAAATAAAACAAGAGTTATTTCTTATCTTCTTTAATACCTTTTTGAACTTCTCCAACTTGAAGCAATCCTCCAATATCGCAACATATTGCCGCAACAAAAAACTCTCGTCCTTCTAACTTAAACTACCCAACTCATAAAGATCTTTTATTAAACATTATACTTAAAAAAAATTTAAAAAAACCTCTTGAAATTCTTTCCCTCTCGTATTTGTCACGCCCACCATCAACTAGTCTTTAATTCAAGTTTATTCATTCAAAATTTCTCCCTTCAATATTCTTTACCCTGTCAATCTAGTTCACTTTTCTGTTTTTTTATTCTCCCTCTTTGTGTGTTTATTTTTCTGCTTATTAAAATTATTTGATTAAAGAAGAAAAAATTAAATTTTAAATATATTTATTCAACTAGAAACGTTACACATAAATTTTGTCTGCTCTAGATTAATATTTTTCATAATAAAAGTAACAGAAAACGAATTTTATGACAAACTTAAAAAAAAAAATATGATAAATTATTTTATTTATGTATATATATATATATATATATATATATATATATATATATATATATATATATATATATATATATAACATTGCACATGTTATAATTATGACAAAAGGGAAATTGTAGTATAACTAGACATTGGGAGGATCACTAGCTCCTCTCTTATTGTCTTGATTTCACTATTGCAATTCTCATAAGTTGCTCATCCAACACCTTATTGCTACATTTTTAGTGAAGTTTCTATGTTAAGCGAACTTAAAGATTAGGTATGTGTTGTTTGGTAACAGATTAGTGTAAGTATGTAGAGTTATGGTTGGACTTAGAAAAGTATTTTTTTTTTGTATTAATCTCCATCTTTTCGTTTTCAATCAATTGTACTCATGTGTGCGTATTTTTTTCTGACGGGGAATCCGTGAGGCGGTATATGTTTATATACAGCAGCAACAGACAAACTGTTGGTTGATAGAGACTTTATGCTTCCTTCATATATATATATATATATATATATATATATTATATATATATATATATAATTATATATATATAAGGGGTAGCCATGCGGGCTAAGGCGCTTGCAATAGGTAACCAAGTTAAGCAACGCCGAGCGTGATTAGTACTTGGATGGGTGACCGCCCGATTTAGGTGGCCGCCCACCAGGGAAGCCACGCTGCCCGAGCCCCTCCCCTGGGTATGTGAGCCCTGTCAGGCTACTGGAGGCAACTAACACCGACCGGGCGTAGGCCTGATGACCCTACCCCCGTGTACTTAAATCAGGAATAGTGATGTGGCCTAAGAGACCACATCTCGCGGTAAAAGATCAGCGCGATCTGTAGCGCCAACTGAAAAGAAAAAAAAAACAGAAAATTATTCTGAATGAAAAAGAAAGAAAATACATGGAATGTTAGTTTACTTGGTTGTGGAAGACATTTTTAAAAAAATTACAGAAATAATTTCTCTTTTAGAGATTTTTTTTTATTATGAAACTTTTCCACTACTGTGGTTATTCGTGACCTTAATGAAATATGATTTTCTTGATAGGTGCTTAAATTTAGTTGCTGTATATGCATTCAAATTTAAAAAGAACATATGTGTTATAATTCCTTAAATGTTGACCTAAGACAGTGAAAAGCATGGACCTATTAAAAAAAAAAAATTGTTATGGTTTATTTTTTTTATATTGAGGGGGCTTCAGCCGAAAACTTCTCTCGTAGATTCACCTATATGTATGCATTATTTTTCGTTAATTCTTTTTTTTTTAACCATTTGGATAAAATAAAGTATTTTGTTTCATTTTTGAAGTAGTACTGTGTCAGTCAGGAGAATATGGTTTTCTAAAAATTTTAATTATTATTATTAGGCCCTTATTTCAGTTGCATCCTTAATTATAGTTTTAAAGACTTATATCTCCAATTAAGGAAATATATTTGTATTATTATAGGAAATATATTTTAAAAAATAGTTGATGTTAACGAAAACACATTTCTCCCTTCGACAAAACATGTAAACGATGAACTTTACCCTTTAGCCGTTCTCTTTCTCTCTTCCCCCTCTCACCCCTCCCACTACTATTACATCTATTCGGTAGATAACACGAGCAGTCGATACCCCTCGTAGCCTTCTTTAGGGCACCAGCTGCTTTCCTATTGGCCGCCAACAAACCGTTTTACCCAAGCCCATTCCCCCTTGGAACATTTCCTTAACCCTTCGCTGCTACCAGAGACACAAATCCTAAGATTCCAAGTTGGCACAGATCTCCCAATAAAGTTTCGACCCCGAGCAATCGCGCTAATAGGTTTAATGAAAGCAATTTCGGCACTTACGAGATAGGAGAGGGAGGTGTTCCTAATCATGTTTAATCTAGTAATAACTAATGATAAGGATAACTGTGTAATTTAATGCCGGATGTTTATTGTATCATATGGAAATCCAATAACATAACAAGGATTCCGAATCTTTGAGTTGTTTGATTTTTATGTTTTCAAGTTATTACGTACCTCTTATATATTCATTGTGATTAAATGTGTAATAAATCGCTTTTTTTCGTACTATTTTCTTTTTTATTTGAAAACATTTTTAGACATGTTTTGCACTTTTTTTGTTGGTAGTGAATGAGACTGAGCCGTCACACTGGGATATGTAACGCTCATTCGTGTAAAGTCGGCTCGAGTTGACTCATTGAAGTTTTTCAGCATATAGATTACCATATCTCAGAAAATAAAAATCGGAACTGCATACTGTAAGCAAGGCAAATGTTCAGTATTCCATCTTATTTGTAATCAGCTATTATTCAAAATTGTATCTTGACGCAACACCTTGTTACAGGGGTGAAAAGCGCAAAAGATAGTGTCGAAAATCAAATAATAACGAGTTTTCATAAACATGCTGATTAAAATAACTCAAAATGTAAAGTTGGGTCTGCATAATTTAAGCAAGGAAAATGTTTAGTATTTCATCATCTTTATAATGAGCTATAATGCAAAACCTTATCTTGATGCGACATCATGTTAGAAAGGCAAAAAGGAAAAAAATATAGTATCGAACACCAAATGATAAAGAGTTTTGTTGAATATATTGATTAAAATATCTCAAAAACTAAAATTTGGATCTGTATAATGTAAGCAAGGGAAATTTTCCGAATTTCATCCTCTTTGTGCTATTATGTGATCTATTATGCAAAATTATATTTTGACGTGAGGCCGAATTATAGAGTTGAAAAGGGAAAACGGTAGCGCCAAAACCCCAAATAATAACAATTGTTTTTAACATTTCACATTATTAATCTCGCCTTATAGATTTTTCACTTCTATCGTGTGGTAAGCACACACTATAGTTTTTTTAATCAATGGACGTTTTAAATTTCATTTCACGCTTCTATACCTTGATCTATTAGACTATAAATGAATACATTTATAGATAATATCTTTGTTTATTCACTTGTTCTCTCAAAACTCTTATGATGAGCTTCAAACTTCATGTCCCGCCCATAATAATTTTTGCGTATTTTTTTGTTCTGGAACGGCAATTAAATTGTTTATTTTCGCCTTTTGTTACTCTTAAAAATTTTTAATATATATGAAACCACGATACACCTAACTCTATTATATATAATTCATTAATTGAAAACTGATAACTAACTTTTCAAAATGTAATAAGAAACACAGGAATGGAATATCTACTTTAAGATTTTAAACCATTAAAACTTTTTTTTTATTCGTCTGAAAATTTTTGGATTGAAAATATCGCTGATATTGATGGTAATAATTGTTTATGTCTGAATAAGAAATCTTTAATGCGTATTTTTATAGTGGTGTAAGTAGGTATATACATTTATTTTCTGCCTTATATTCAGTCTTTATAATTTGAGAGAAAGAAGGTACCGATAATTGCATTTGTTTGTTTCAGATTTTCTTTATATTTTTTGTTTTTAAGGAAAATTTAATTAATTAATGGCATAAATGTGGTAATTAATAAAATCATCTAACAAAAAAAACTATAAATATAAATATCGATTTCTTTTTCTGGCTACTACAGCAATAGAGTTCTTAGTTATTCCGCCCAAATCCTTTCTTAGATCACATAGAAATAGAAATATTTTCTAATAATAACATGTTAAAATATAATATAATATATATCCTGTACTAAAAACCGAATACAAATTTTGCCCCTCAGTTCTCTAATACAATTTCGCAAGACAGTGCGGTGTTGCGGGTTTGCATAGCGTCATTTTACCAGTCAACTTTAACCAATCATTTTTTTTTTTTCGATTTCAAACTCAATTAATAGTTATTTATTTGGAGTATTTTTATTTTAATTTTCTATGTCCTATGGTTCGCATTGAATTTAAATTAATCACGTCTTGCCCATAAAACAAATATTTTAAGCAAACTCTTGTCTTTTATAGATTTTTTTTGTTGTAAAATGTATAAAAATGTTCATAATTTCTTAAAAAATTTATATCCATGGTTTTTTTGCAATTCTTCAATCATTCATATCTCAGTTTATGTGAAAATAAGTGAATTTTTCATGGCTATAGTTACGTACAGTGCTATATTGCAAGATTATCTCCAAGACCACGCCTAGCCGATATTGGTTGCATTACTTACAATAGATTTTTTTTAATTTTATTCCACTCCATTCACTTAATTTATTTTTTATTTTTATCTATAGGATAAAAATATTAAGTAACTGCTAATATATATAAATATTATCATTTATTTTTAAAGAAGTATTGAAAGAAGTTAGTCGACTGTTCTACATATCATGGGTGATAAATATTCAGGACGCAGTCTTTTTTTTTTTTAATTTTTTTATTTATGCTATAAGGTTTTGATCCAAACATATTTCATTTTTAATATGTTTATTGTAATATTAGTTAAGATTCGTGTACCATCAATCACTATAGTTTATTATTTACCATTATCGGTCTTATAATACTATATCTCTGAATGTATTTAAAAAAAACAAAAAAACAGCTCTGAAGATGACCCATATGTTTGGGTTGAAAGTTGGCATAAATAAAAAATTAATTAATTAAATTTTTTTTAAAAAGCTGCGTCCTGAATATTTATCACCTATGATTTATTTTTAAACATTCATAAAACGTTCTACAATGCTCCACATTCAACATCAATTATGTTAAAAAAGTGAATAGGTTTTTTTCATTTTTTTAATGTGTTAGAATAATCATCGTAATGAAATATTATTATATTAATTTTTTTTTGTAGTTTTACCTCAACTTTTTTCCATTCTTTTTTTTTGTAGATTTAAAAAAAATAAAAATCGAGGTGGAACGAAATGGTTAAGGCTTATTGAGTGAAATATGGAGCAGAGCAGGTGGGATTTCTGGCAACATTACTTCCCCGGCGGGCCTTTCTCTAGTTTATTGCCTGGCACGCTAAATCTGGCTTCGGAGGAACGAGCTTCGGATACAGATATTGTTTGAGCATTTTTAGGGACACTGGAAACTATAAAAAATATGGACTCATCTCAAAGCTCCGTTCGACTAACTTCATTGGCTTTAACTATCCTTTAACTAATCCTCCAATAGTAAATTGTTTTCGTCCGAAAACTGCAAAAAAAAATAAAAATAATAATAATAATACAACTCACATTTTGTCATTTGATAATTACAACGTCGATTACTTAAATTATAAGGTTAGTTAAAAGTATGGAAAATTCGACTAAATCATAATAAATTCAAACATTTAACATTTACTCTTCGAAAATGTATATATCTACCCTCAAGTTTATATTGATAACAACCAAATATTTCGGACAAACACGGTACACTATCTTGGTATTGTGCCTTTAAATGAATGATGATATGTGGCTCTAAAGTTATATTCTCAATTATTACTTTTCATTTATTTGTATTTTTTTGCAAAATACGAATGTTCTGGTAATATATCACGAAGCCAAGACATGTTTATGTATTGTATATTTGTAGAATATTAATGTTTTTACTGGTCGTGTAATTTATGAAGGTGATGTAATATGATAATGAGGCTTTTGTGTAGGATTGATTTATTGTGAGAATTGTTGCAAAGTCAGTATGAAGATCAGTAAATCTCTACGTGTTAATAGGAATGTGGTAAGTTTTTCAACAGCAGTAAAAGAACCAACACTGAACCTTGTTGTACTCGACAAATTTAAGAAACGTTCGAGTCCTGCTAAACTAAGAAAATTCTATCGAGAAGGAGATAGTAAGTGTAGGATGGAATGACCTTGAGTTCAAAGAAACGACCTTGATGACAGATTCTGTCAAATATCTGAGTGACATTCAAACTTATACCGGTTGCATATAGATGTTATTTTATTGTACCGGCAATGTAGCCTGTATTTCAGTGTAATTTATGAGTTAATGAATGGAATACGAAATGATGAGCAGGAATACCTGCTAATAATAATCAGTTTGTTTGTCCATATGCCAGCTATTCATTCCTGTATTAATTTTTCAAATACCTTTAAGCACGTCGGATGGAGACTCATTGGAACGCAGGATCAAGGACAGTGAATCATTTTAATGAATAAGCATTTACATTGCAAAGGAAATTTTGATGTCCTGAATATATTTCTGTAAATAGTCGTTATAAGTACTAGAGTTATTTTCCTGTGCCTTTGTTGGAGTGGTTCAGTAGTAATTAAGCCATAACTTGAGACTTTTAGAAAATGTTTGATTTAAAATATAAATTATAATAGAATTAGAGATGGAGGTGTTAGGGTAAAGTGAAACAGGGTAACTTATGTGTTCTATATAAGGGTCCCATGTTCTCTGTTTTAATTAGTTAATTATGGTAAACATTGAAATATAAATCTCAAGTTTTTTTTTTGTCATAAATTAATTTTAGTTTTACTACATTCACATTTTACGTCAGGATAGTTGTGACCTAAAAATCCCTAAGTAAAATGTCTTCCAAACTAATACATTATTTAATTTGTATCGTTTTTACAATAATTTCTCAATTTGGCCGTGAGCCCTAACTTCCGAACTAATCAAATTACTACCTCGGTACCTTGGAGCAGGATTGGCACTGTAAATAAGATGTCCTCCTCCAGAAGAAATAGTAAGGACACGAAAGGGCTGTAGAGGAGCCCAATATGTTCCCTGTCCGCGGAGCTATATCGCTAACATCCATCAGCACTGTCTCCAGGGTCTTATTGTCGTCCTCTCTCTGAAATATCTCCTTAGATAAGTCAGTCTGTCCAAGATGTCATCATTTCGGTCGAATGGTTATAAACCGATCGCATAAGGAGTTGCCATTGTATTGAAACTTTTATAGTTTTAGTTTTAGTCGTTGTATCAGATCTCAACAGTGAAAACTTATTGT